CGGCGAGCCCCAGTTTGAGGACCTGAAAATCGGCTCCAAGTCCCCATTGAGCCGGGGGCTCCGGTGACACGACTGCCACCTACCCCCAAAACGGCCCATACCCCTCCATGCTCGTCCTCCAGCTCCGCCGGAGTGTAAAAAGTCCAAGGCGTGCCAGACGAGCCCTTTTTGTTAAGGGACACGCCTCGGAGGGATCTCGGGATCTTCAGGGGCTGCTTGTAGAGAAGCTCCAAGGGAACCTCCGAACCTGGCTCCCCTCTGAGGTCCTCGCCCTTGATTCCCGGATCTGGGCCTGGAAGGGACTCCGCTGGGGATGGAGCCTCCTCCGAAAACTTGGTGGTGGCCGGTGAGTTTGCCTCAACCTGGTCACTGGGGACAGGATCTGGATGAGGTGAGGGTTCCTCAACCTGCTCAGGGACCAAAGAAGAGGCTGGCTCAGGTGAGATCTTCTCAACCTGTGTTTTGGAAGCCTTGCCTTCTGTATCCGGCTTAGGTGCCGGTGAGGTAACCTCAACCTGGGAGCTCTGGGCAGGCTCCTGCTTAGGAGAGGTCAGTACCTCTTCCTGCTCATGCTCCGAGGGAGAGGCCGGTTCAGGCGAGACCTTCTCAACCTGGGTTGTGGCGGCCGGGCCTGGATCACCAGCATCTGTATCCGGCTTGGTTGCCGGTGAAGGTACCTCAGTCTGAGAACTCTGGGCAGGTTCCTGTTTAGGAGAGGTCAGCACCTCATCCTGCTCAGGCCTCAAAGGAGAGGTTGGTGCAGGTGAGACCTGCTCAACCTGAGTTGTGGAGGCTAGGCCTGGTTCATCAGCATTGGAAGGCGAGGGCACCTCAGCCTGCAGATTGGAACCGGAGGCTCTTGGCGAGGCCTCCTCAGCCTGGGCCTCTGTGCGTTGCCGCTTTGGCGGTGGTGGTGGTGGGGTTCGGGCTACCCCCGGCTTGGGTGCGGCTTTTGGCCTCGTGATAGGGGCCTCAACCGACCTTGACAAGTTGGGACCAGAAGCCGGAGGTTCCCGGTCGGTACCTGAATGCTGGCTTTGCCTGGAGTACCTTGATCTCGAAATAGCAGGTTTGCCCTCACTAAAACGATGCTGCAAGAGGGCCTGGTACCGCTGTTCCGTTACCGGGTCCTCGAAAGGGGCATTCTGCCCCTTCCCTGGCTTGTTCTTCCCTTTTCCTTTACCCATCTTGGAGCCAAAAGCTGCGAGAAGGCTCAGACATGGAGGGTTAGCAAAACCAGGTACGAGTAGCACTTAGACCAGGCTACATCTGCAGGCTTGGCGCAAACAGCACCTACCCCATCATCAGTAATAAGCTTGGAGGGGAGAAGTAAAGTACGATAATGTCCAGAGGTCGGGGAGTTGCCTAAATGCGAGACCACGGCCTTGGGGTAGTAACGAAGAAGTTCCCCATCCAATCCCTCAAGCACACAAGGATCCTCAAAACCAACTGGGTTCTCGAGCCTCCGAAAACCCCCCCCTTCCCTAACAAACCTCAAAAGCTGCAATGCAATCAAAGGCGGGTGAGTAAGGATTTTCACTTCTCCACCTTGTTGCCAATTTGCCAGAAGTTCCCTCATAGAGACTTCGTGCTCCGGGAGGTGAAGAGGAAGTGGGAAAAAGTTACCCTCGTGGTGAGGTGCATTGGGAGCATGAGCTCGCCATGAAACGCAAGAGAGGTCACGGGGAAGCCCCGAAGAAAGGTGCATGAGAAGTTGACAAACATCATGCTGGCTGTTTGGGGATTCCCATCGACCCTGGCCTGCAACTAATCTCTTCCAAACCAGGGACTGCCACAGCTCGACTTTGCGCTGATCTTTCAACCATCGCAGGATGCCCTGGATGGGGGATCCAGCAAAGGGGCTGGAGGCATCAAGGAGCAGGTCAACCCAAAAGAAACCAACCACCAGAGAATTGGTGTAACAATGGTTGGATGGATTTTGGAACTTCACCTTGCGAACAATGGAGCCAGCAGCCCTTAAGTCTCCAAGCTCTGGGTTTCCAGGATCCCGGTAATCGCGGACAGCAGGAGAGGGAGGCTCAATCCTGACCATGTTCTGCAAGGGAGGGTCATCGGGAGTGAGAGTTTGCAGGGGAGTGGCCTCAACCCTGTTAAGTGGTGTTGCAAAGAAGTTGCTAAGGTTTTGGGCTTTTGGGAGAGTCTCCTTAGAAAGCTTGCTAGCCTTCTTGGAGGCAGGTAGTGACTCCGGAACCCCTACGCCACTTAACAAACTCTTGGTGAACTTAGTCAGTTTGTTAGTGTGTTTACGGGTCACACACAGGGACTGGAGGAGCCCTGGGACTTTCTTTGCCCGCGCTGGCAAAATGCCTTCACACACTTTACACTGCCAAGCTTTGCCTATGGAAACAAGCTGATGGGAAGAGTGACAGGCCAGGTGCTCCGGGGGACGACCTTCCCTTCCCAAGCACGGCTGGGCAAGGACCTGCTGGAACAGTGAAGGAGGGTCCACTTGCTGCAGGTAAAGGCCACATTTCCCACACATGGCTGTGAGGTTCGTAGGGTGCTGACTCCGAATTTCCCACTGGTGTCCCAGCGGAGAGACGGTTTGGCTGACGAGTTGCTCAATCTGTTGCCTTTTGTTGAGGGTTGGAGGTTTTGGCTGGCGCTTGCAGAAAATAGTCTTCTTGTCCTGCGTAGTAATCAAAATCTCCGCCCTCTGGCTAAGTAGCTGGGAAAGGGTGGAAACCAGCGTGTCAACTTGCCTGACTTGCTTTTTGGCATCAGGGTGCAAAGCTTGGTCAGCCCTGGACCCAGCAAGTTGGTCAGCTTCCTGATTCAAATGCCAACGCCAAACCTCATCTTTTCCAAACTTTTCAGCAAATTTTCCTACATCCAAGTGGGCCTTGACCCAATGAAGATGTTGTGGGGATATGTTCTGCCATTGGGGTTTCCAAAACATGGAATGCTTGGATGTAACCGCCCTAGCTGCAGCCTGCTTGCAAGCTACCCGAGAATCCGTAGTAAGATCCGTCAGGCCTGGGCAAAGCTCATGGGCCTTAACAATGGCATGGACCTCCCCATCTAGAACCGTGGCCGGCCGAGGCAAAACCCCGCTCGCAGTTGCAATAACTGTGATGCTTTGGCCCGTTTTGCGTGCTAGAATCACAGCCCATCCAATGGTCCGCAATCTGGGATCGGAAGAAAATTTTCCGCCACTGGCATCAGTTCCAATGACAAGATCCGAGTCCCAGGGCTGTGACGGCCAGGTGCCCGCATACCTATCCTCAGCGTTCTGAAGTGGCGAGGAGACATAGGCAAGAGGGGGAAGGGCTCGCAACCAAAGGCAGGGCGCCGGATGGGACTGACGCATTTGTTCAAGATGCCTGGGAAGCTTTGGCTGTCTGGCCCATCTGGGGCAGTCCCACAGCACATGTTGTAGTGTGTTTTCTGAATCAAGGCCCCGATCCTTACAGTAAGGGCACTTGGGGTGGCCACCACTTCCCGCATGCACAACTGCACCTTGCCAGATTGACCTGTAGAAGGTCAGACGTTTGGTCTTCTTTAAAGCAATGCGGCGATGAATTGTGAAATCTACACCCTCCTGAGCTCCTTGGCCGCCATGTTGGCCAGAGATGGCTCGCAACCTTTCGCTCTTGATGGTAGACCGAATCTTGCGCCGCAGCTCCTGAAAAAGAAAGGGGCTGAAGTCAACGGGCCAGGGGTGGCCATCAATATGCCAGACGTCCGGGGACTGGACATCCCATCCCATATCCCTGGCATACTGAATCATGGCCGAAATGGGTCCGGCAACGATTTTCCAAGGGTGAGGCGAAGCCTCCAACCTGGATTTGACCAAGGGCCAGGACCTTTGAACTTCCTCCCAAATGGAAGGAGAACGGCCAAGAATACGGAGAAAAACTTGCAAATGCTCACAAATGATCTGCTCTCGGGGATCCGGAAATCTGTGGGAGAACATCTCCAAGACGGTCAGGGTTCCTCCTAGATGTTGGCGTCCTAAGCTACCAGCCAGCACAGCGCGGTGCCATTTCAACCGTTTGGGACTAACACCCTGTGCCTGATGGCCATAGGTGGCACATGTCATGATGGATCCGCGCACAACCCTCGTGCGTGAACAATGCGAATCAACACCTAAAGCACGAAGGCGCTTGTGGCGGCCTTGCGCCTTCTTGTGCCTGCCCAGAGAGGTGGCAAGCCTGCGGCGTCTGCCAGCATTGCTGTCAACCCCTAAGTCTTTGGCTAACAGAGTAATGCCAGGATCTTGGTCCGAACGCAGACGCGCAAGAACTTGAGAGGTGGCAGAGTCTGAGCAAAGAAACTTGGTTTTTTCCAAGGAAACCTGAAGATTTCGTTCCGCAAGAGAGTCTCGCAGTATACGAAATGTCTTGAGGGCTTTGTGAGCCGTGTTAGAAGCAGTGGACCCTACCACGTCAGCCGAAATGTCATCCAGCCACTGGTCGATGTTGTGAGTGAGGCCAGTAGCCTGAAGGTCCCTGATTGGGACAAACAAAGCCAGTTTCGAAACCACCGGCGCAACAGGGCAACCCTGAAGCAACCCAACTGTGGGAATGATTCCCGGCGAAACCGAATTTTCGGCTGAGACAAATCGTGTCCCACCATAAATTTGAAGGGAAAGCTCCAAAAGCAAAGGTGGGAACTGCAACAGGAGTCCGGTGTCGACTACCGAGGCCCAAACTACACAATCATAGAAACCTTTGATATCAAGAAAGAGTCCTACAAAGTGTTTGGACTGAGTTCGGGAGGCTTCGGCCCACAGCAACCGGCGGATGCCGATGTCTAAAGATGTTCGACCTGGCACTGCGGCATCCCAAGGAGCCAGGGCCTGGTAGGAGACCGTCCACTCTTGGATCAGGGACCACCTGGCTCTGCAGTAGTCCCTCCACAAAACGTGAGTTAAAGAGATAGGTCTCTCAGCAGTAGCCGATTTGGGCAGCATACAAACTTGTGTCAGGAGAAACTGCTGCGGGACTCGGAGGCCTCTTTCGAGCTCCTGATAAAATTCAGCGATATCCTGAAGCATTGGCCAAGTCAATTTCTTGAGAAGGGACTTGCTCCAGCCGTCCGGTCCTGGGGCAGTGACCCTGCCTTTGGAAAACCTTTGTTGCAGCTGTTCCGGGGAAATGGGGCTCAGGGTAGCGACCTGCTGAGCAGCCAGTTCCCGTAGCTTTCCGCGAGCCTGTTGCTCTGCGTGTGGAAGAGGAGGAAGGTCCTCAACTCTAAGTACGCCTTTCCAAGTGCGGAGCCATAGTTTGGTTCTAGCCAGGGCGCGGACCTCAGCGGACAGATCCCGAAAGGGACGTGCAGTGGTGATTTCACCTTTTTTGATCGTCTTGAAAAGGGGGGCCATCCCTTTTTCTTGGGCTCCCTGCAACCACGACCTGTACGACTTGGTCTGGGCATCCTGGTGAACTTTAGAGGCCAGCAGAAATTGCTCCTGCAATAATTGCTGGACGGGCTCGGGAACAGCAGCCTGCTCCGAGAGACAGGCCTGGAGCGTAGAAAGAAAAGAAACAGCCTCCTCCGAGTTGCCCTGCCAGTGGTCCAGGATCTGCGGCAAATACTCCTGGCATTGCTCTCGACGTTTGGGGTGGTCTCCCTGGCACAGAAATTGTACCCGGTGCCAAAAAGCCTGGCAAGAACCTTCCCATGCGAACTGGGACATGCGAGGAACAGCTGGGAGGAATTCAACTTGGAGCTGGCGACCGATACCCTGGGACGATTGCAAAAGACTGTGCTCAACCGAACTGGAAATGGAAGCCAGTCGATTGCTCAGGGGGTCAGCCGAAAAGGTGGTATCCGGCAAAGAGGCGAGGGTCTCCTCAACCTGTATGTAATCAAGCGGTTCTTCCCTAAAGGAAAGCACAAAGGAGGGAAGCTGTGGAGTGGTGAGCTGGAAAGCGCCCACATTGAGGGCAACTTGGATTGCTGCATGTGGCTTGAAAGGAACATCCCAGGAGGCATCAACCCGGAGCAAACCTTCCAGGCAGTGTGATACAGCCAGAAAATCAAGCTCATTGTCACCACAGGTGGCTTTGTTGGGCCCAATTGGTTCCAGGGACAAACTTTGAAAAATGGCAGTGTCCAACAAATCCTTCAAAGGCGAGTTCCAGTCTCCACCTATCAGGATTGGGCCCCTCACAGATTGACGAATTGCGCGCAGAGATGCAAGGATGTCAGAGTTGACCGGGGACCCGAAGCCGGAGGAAGACTGGAGGTACAGGCTAACTACTGTCAAGTCAGCCCCTTGTGTGCGTAGCGTCACCGCCACGTAGCCACAACCTTGGTTAGTATACTGACCTCGCAAACGGGCTCCCAGGTGGGCTCTAACTAAAACCCCAACTCCGCCTCTAGAGCTATTCCGTCGGCCTTCCCCAGGGGCTGCGGGCAAAAGGAAGGAGTCGAAGCCCATGGCAGCCATAGACGAGATTTCAGCAACAACTTGGGACTCCAAAAGATGGTGCTCCTGAATCAAGATAACATCCCCTTGAGCTGAAAACCATTGCTTGACTTCTGGTCTCCAAGAAGTAATGTTGCAAGATGTGACTCGCATTTGCCTGTGCCCCTGTGGCTGCGATTTGCACAAAACTTCAAAGCCTCGAGCAACAAGCAAGAGCAAAGTCAAGTCAAAAGAACGTTGGAGGGCCAAGATCTCCTGGCACAGCCACCAACCTAAGCTGCCCTGCTCAACCTGATCAAGAAGGTGGCCAACCACCTCGGAAGTTGCTCCCAACAGATCTGGGTTCTGGACAGCCTCCCACACCTGGCCTTCGAGTGTTCGCCACTGGCTGTGTGGGCTTGCCAAAGGTGGCACCTCAGGTGGCATTTCACAAGGGGCAAGCTGAGAGAAGGGTACCCTAATGTGTTTGGGCTTTTTCGCTCTGCGTCTGGTTTTATTACGTTTGCGGGTGACCCCAACCTCGGCATGGCTCCCCGACGCCTGTAAGCGAGGAAACTCCTCAACTTGAGATGCCGTTGCTGAGGTTGAGGCCACAAAAGCAGAGATTGGAGAAGCACCGGTCACAGGGACCTCATCAAACTCAGTTGTCGAGAAAGATGGGGGCCAGAACTGGGGCCCTGTGATGAGTTGGGTGTCCTGGGACTGCAGCGGGGTGCTGTGGCGCAATCCTTTGGTAACAGTCTGCCAGGCACTCAGATCCCCACAAGAATCCCATTCTTCCTGACCAGAAAGACCTGGTAACCAAAACTGACCCCATACAAGGTCTTTGTTGCAAAATTGTGAGTAAGCCTCAACATACCCTGAAACCTTCTCTAAGGACTTGGGCGGCTGAGGTTGGCACTCCCCCAATGAAAACAAATCACTGTACAAAGAAATGGGTCGCTTAACCGATTCGCCGGAAAACCCGCATGGCTGAGAGCTGGACGCAGGGGCACAGGAAACGTCTTGATCAAGCTGAAGGGCAGGCTGAAATGCACAAGCAGGTTGCCCACTCTCCCCACTTAAAGGACCTTCCTCGAAAACAGACCTAACCTGGACCCCCAGCCCCACTCCCTAACCTTGCTGCGTGCTACGGCCTCGGCTCCTGGACCTGGGCTTGGCTTGCTCATGCGGCTCAGTGCCCTTGTGTTCTGGCAGAGTTTGGCTCAGCGGGGCACGGGTCGGAGCCGTCAAACCAGGCTGGTTTGTGGCTTCAACTTCCATATTCTGCTGCCCATCATTATGCTTGCCGCGCTGGGCCTCCTCGTAAAGCTCCTTCTGCTCCTGGGTCAGGACAATTCCAACTTTGGCAAGCGTATCTAGAAGCCCTTCCAAGGGATCGTCCTTGCGCGCGGGGTCCTCCAGACCCGAAGCATCAGCACGGAGTGTGGCTTCCAACTCCGACTGCATAGCCGTGACTTCAGCTTGTTTGCTCTGCAATTCAGATTGGCAAACCTTCATCTTCTCAAGCAGCTCCTGGTAGGTTGCTTTGGCGCGGTCTATGCGAATCTGTAAGGCAGCAGTTTGCTGGATCATCTGTCGCAAGTCCGTAGTGCTCTGCTTAAAGCGACGAGTTGCAATCTCAATCTGCTGAGTCTGCGTGGGGGCCGGAGGATCAAGTGCTGCAAGGGCTTGCTGGATCGAAGGCGGCATTGACTCCAAGTGCTTCTTGCAAAGGGCCGCAAGGTCTGTTGGCTCCGACGCAACCGGCTCAGGGATGCCAGCTTGGCGCATCAGCTTCTTCTGATCATCAGACGCAGAATCCCACAGGTTCTTAGAGGCTTCGGCCTGCTCGTCAAGCCCACCCTTTGCCCCGTTGCCTTTTCCAGACTGGAGGCCTGGAGGCGGACTCGGCTGCCGGCCTGCTTGGAAACCTGCCTCGCTCAGTTCCTTCTGGACCTCTGGGGGAAACTTCTGCCAAAGTGTCGTGACGGCTTTGGAGAGGTTGCCCTCTTGATTCCTAGGCCGTTGGGGGCTTTGGGTGGCACTCTCAGTGGTTGCGCTTCTGTCCCTGTTCTTCTTGGGACCCCGCGGGCGCAGTCTTTGAGTGACCGGAGCACCCTTGGTCTTCCATGCGTTGCCACACAGGTTGCAAAAGGGGTGGTGCTGGACTCTGTCTACGAAAATCCAGCTCTGCTTACCCGCCCTAGAGCAGTGAGGACAGACGATGTAGGGCGTTGCTGCACCCTTGGCACCGTTTTTTCCCCAAGTCATGGCGAGCAAGCTCAACCTGTGACAACGGCTGAGCAAGTGTTCGGCTTGAAAGCACGTGCAGTATGGCGCTACCCCGCCCCAACCCTTGCTGGACAGCCAGCCTACGACCTTTAAGGTTGCGGTTTGGGTTCCAGTCAGGGCCTTTAGCAAAAGTAGGGACTCCAGGCTAAAAGGCCACGTCGGCACTGCAAAGTCTGAGCCGAAAACTTGAGCCAGGATTGAAAATCAACTCCCCCTCATGAACCTGTCGTCGAGAAAAGGTACCGGTCCAGTGGCTGCTGTTGCGTATTGGGCTCGTAGATCTTCTCACGGTCCACGATAGTTTTATGGCTCTTCCAAAAACGGCTGCGGCTGTACAAAGAGGCGTCAGCACCTACCAAGCACTCAAAGCCCTAAGAGCTGTGTGAGCAAAAGCTTCGGGGTAGTGCTGGGTGTTCTTCAGAACGAACATCTTACTATGCTCGTGGTTTCCAGGGCACTTTAATTTATCCATGCAGTGAATGAGAACATGACTGTTCGAGCACAACCTCCAAACCTTCTTCACAGGAAGTGCGTCCATTCCAACCATACCGCAGGCACAACCATGCACAAGAGCGGTCTCATGCGGATTGATCTTAAGGAATGACTTCGTAGCGGACCATCCCCAGTAAGCACAACGTTGCGGCCATTCAATGACCCAAGTTGCCGAATCAGATGTGTTGACTAGCTTCAAGAAGCTCTTCCAGAGCTTTCTGTGGACTGTGAAGAGTCCTTTCATCCTTTCATCATAGTGATCTGCAGATCGGGCTTGGTGATAGCGCTGCCAAGGCGAACCACCGGTACAGGGCGTCGAGGCCCACACAACAACATGCATGTTCCGACGGTGTGCCGAACGAAGGGCGTGCTCAATGAGCTCGATGGTCTCCGGAAGAGTCCCATCCGTTTCTTCCGTCACGGGAATAGCATGGATGCCATAGTGGCTAGCAAGCTTAGTCAACCAGGCTTCTCCAGAGGTGCAGAACTCGACCATCACAATGTAATGCGGTGTCTGCAACCGACAACGACCAACCAACACACTCCAAGGATCATCGACGCTTGCAGAAAACAGACCTTTGAACGCGGCAAACACAAGGCAACGGACCGGGGGCGCATCACCTCGAAGATAGTCACTACGGGTGAGACGTTCCTCAAGACACAACTGTCCTATATGATACCAAGTTTGCGCGACACTCAAGTTCTTTGTTTGCAAGTCGGCGACGTTATCCGTTCCTGGGACGTGTGTAACCAGGATCTCGCCGTTCTCAACCTTATCCTGCAAGTAGCAAAGACGAAGGTCCACATGACGCATCCTTCTCAGGAAGCCGGACATCATACTGACTTGGCGAGCGGAAGAGCTGTCCGTAGGCAGGTATAGGGGTTGCGCAACGCTTTCGAAAAGGTGGCCCAAAAGCTGCCCCAATCCTACAAGCTCGCGCGCCATCTCAACCATAGCGAAAAGCTCAGACTCCGCACTGGAGAGTGCTACGATAGGCTGGAGCCTCGAGTAAGTCTTGATACAATTCCCATTCAGGTAAATCACTCCTCCGCTGGTGCTCTTCCGTCCAGTAGAGCGCTCAGAGGCCCAATTAGCGTCGCTGAATCCAACGAGGGTTGCAGTCCCAGGTTGAGCTTTGGAGTCCTTCTGAAAGACCTGAACAAGATCGGGAACCTCCAAAAGCCAACGGAGCACTTTACGCATACAATCCTCATGCACAGCGCGCGGACAGGCTTGACCTCTAGACAGCATGGAGTGAAAATAACACAAATCCCCCCTGGTTTGCACAAGCCAGCCTAGTTTCCCTAGGGTGCTTCTAAAGCGGCTCGCGGCTTCAGGGGAGAGCTCTTCGGAGGGCTTCTCGGGGTCTTCCTTGTCAAGGATCGATCGGAGGTCTGGTGGTGCAGTGCAGGGCTTCATCTTCCTGCGGTTCTCCTGGCTCCACCCAAAAGCCTCGAAGATCGAATCGACGTATTCTTTCTTCACAGCCAACAAGATCTCATGGCCACGCTTGATTATCTCACGGCCTAGGAATCCGATCCTGCCGTCCTCATCCAAGCGTCCAGTCAACTTGACCTTAAGACGGCCCATGAGGAAGTCTAGAAGCTGTTGGTTTGCCTCTTTCGTTCTTGTGGCTAGCAAGATGTCGTCGACGTACACAAGACAAAGCACAAGGATGTCTCCCCAATACCCTTTGTACAACGTAGGTTCAATAAGAGAAGGAAACAATCCCAACTCAGCAAGAAGTCCAGCAAGATGCTTCTGCCACGAAAGGCCTGCCGATCTCAAGCCATATATGGCTTTCTCCAGGATGACGTAAACCTTAGAGCCATCAAGGTTCTGAAAGCATCCCGGCAACTCAAGCACGGTATCAAGAACCAACTTGGCATACAAGAAGGCAGTCGAAACGTCAAGTCCCCAAAGGACAAGCGTATCCTGGACAACACGACAGATGAAAGCCTTGAAGGCCTCCACAGAAGCAGTCTGGCTCGCAATGCCCAAGTCAAGCGCCGAAGGTTGATTGAAAGCAAAGTCTTTTGCAACAAGGCGCGCACGCACAATGTGCTGATCGTCAACATCAACCTTGTCAGTGAAGACAAAACGCGACTTAATGATCTTGGCACCTGTCTCCTGGCAGTGGGTCTTAATCTCATCATAGGTGCGGGCGTTGCCGACACCCAAGTTGTGCATAGCAGACACCTCTTTCTGCATGCCAACCCACGTTTTCTCAGGATCCAAAGGCAAGCCACTGACATCATCAACCACAGAAGTGGGCTTGATGACCCACACCTCCCGATCACCGAAAGGCATGGCTACCCCCTCATCGGGGTTACTGTGCTGAGCGGGTGCTTTTCTCTTAAGCTGAGCAGCAAACAAGCCGACCTCACCGTAATCAACAGGACTCAGGTGATGCTTCTGGTCCGGAATCACTGAGAACATGAACTGAGGCATGCTCGTACTGTCAAGGACATCCGGGACCTGAGCAACATCCATGGGCACAGTGTAGTCGTCCATATCAACCTGATCCATCTCAACGTCCCCACCAGGGAGATACTCCTGAGGGAGCTCAGAGTCTTGGGCTGCTTGTGAGGGTTCGGGCACCAGGTGCTGCAGATCCTCAGGAACAGGAGACCCAGGAAGACTGGGCTCGTAGTCCAAG